GGCAGAGGTGCCACGAGCCGCTGCACGAAGGCACTTGCCGGAACCAGGAGCCTTGAGGGAAGTCGGGGCAGCCCTGTCCACGGTGCCTGGCCGCCTCGCACAGGCCGCCTCGCACAGGCCGCGCGCTCCACCTGCCCAGCCTCAGAGGAAAGAAACCCAACAGCTTCAAAGAGAGCAAACAGCAGCCGAGCAAGGAGCAGGCTTCCCACCCCTTCCCAGCCAAGGTGAACAGGCTGCAAGTCTGTTGACAGAAAAGAGTCATCAATTTTTCATCACCCAGCGAAGGCAACAGAACGTCTCAGGATGTCAACAGTTTCCAAGCAACAAAGACAAACCAAATATGCAGTCCCCTCACCCGAAAAGACGTTTCCTCTGCCAGCGGCAGCTTGGATGGGCGTGGGGGCGGGGGGCGGAGGCCAGTCACGCCCCTTGGCGGCCGCACCAGCTGACCCAGACCTCCGTGGTCTGCGGCTGTCTGCAGCGACCCCGTTAGCAGATCTGGTCAGACGATGACTCAAGGCCAAGCCGGTCCTTGGGGAGGATTCGGGCACCAGAATTAAGGCCAGAGGGATCAGCTGGCGTGTCTTATTCACCTATTTATTCAATAAACATTTTTGAGGGCTCTTAAGGTCTGTGTTCGGGCCTGGGGCTGAGTCTGGCTGGGGAGAGGAGCCAGGATGGACCACTTTCCCTCGCCTTGTGGATAAGAAAACGGAGAGCCAGAGAGAGGACGCAGCTGTCCCAAGATCACAGGGCCACCTAGGGGCCAGGGTGTACTTGAACCCCTAGCCCGATACTTGGTGGCTGTGCCAAGGTCCCTAGGTGGCCCAGGACTCTGTGCCTGGAAGGAGGCTGGCACGGACGGAGTCTCATCCAGAGTGAACGCAGCAAGCTTTCTAGAGACCTTTAGCAAAAGTGTTCAGATACCAAATCTAAAAACCGAAGCGGAGATGGTTCAGCTCCCACGGGCGGCACGGGGCTGCTATTTCTACCTCTGATTGTCACCGAAGCAGCCGGACGGCCCTTGCAGAGCACGTCCTCGGGCCTGAGGCTCCCAGGATGTCTCCTCATGTTTGCGTTACCGTTTCCCAGTGAATGTCAATGGAGACTCAAGAATAAGTCAACACAGGTCCTCACAGTAAACGGCAGGGCTTGTTAGCAGAGTAAACCGTGTGCTTAGCCCGTCTTAAAAGAATCTTCACTGAGTAAACAGAAGGAAGGCTTTGCTTGAGAGTAAGTGGAGCTGGGAGCTGAGGTGCGCCTGAGGGCTGGAAGGTGACTCCTTCCTGGGCTGGGAGCTGTCCCCGGGGTCCTGGGAGGGAGCTGGCCTTGGCTGTGGTGCAAGGGCCAGGGCGCCCTGGGAAGACCTTCCTGCCAGGAGGCATGGGGATGGGAGGCCAGAGGGGTCAAGGGACTTAGTGACGGTCACACGTCAGCTGAGGCAGAGGTAGACCCCTCTTGCCCAGCGGGCTCTGCCCTCCCAAGGGGCTGACTCTCTTGTGGAGAAGGCGAAACCCCAGCCTCTGAGAGACTCTCCAGAGGAGAATCTGGGGGTCCGTCTCATTTGCTGTGAGGCATCCGGGTGTCAGCCTTCCCGGGGCGACTTTTACACTTAAACACAAAGCAAGGAACTGCAGCCCTTATGAAGACAGCGGGGGGAAGATATCTGGGGCCCAAACAGGTGAGCAGCTTTCTGTCCCCGAGCGTTAACACTGATTCAATCTTACCCTTCATGGCAGTGGCTTCTGGGCCTTTGCCCACACCTCACAACTTCCTTGACGGCCTTATTCACAGGAGCTTCTCATTTTCCCAAGTTTAAAAAAAAATTTAGGTCTGAAATCTTTGACCCATAAACTTTTTAGTCTCAAAAACCCAAGTGCAAATGCTGACTTTAAATCATCTCAAATAACTTTTCACCAGAAAAAAAAGAACGCAACCTGAAACACTCCACTTCTTGTTTAATCTATGGATTCCTTTCCTCTTTCTTGACAGGATCTAAGAACACAGATCAAAGCACAAGTGGCAGTGAAGTCATCACAAGAACCACAAAAAGAAGTTGTTTTAGCTAGTGCCGAGGAGAGGCTGGGGGAGCCAGCCGCCGCCCAGCGAGGGCAGCTCAGCAGACGGGCGGCGGCAGGCCAGCTCGGGCCGGCGGCAGCGCAGCGGGGCCGGGCGGCGGGCGCGCTAGGTCACAGGGCCCTGGTTACTATGAAGGGGTCGTGGCTTCCCTTCCCAGAGGGGACAGACTGTCTCCTGGCCCTAAATGTTTTACCCAAGACCTTACTTAGGAGACAGTAACAACACGGCCCTTCCACGAGCTTCATGGCCGACGCGCAGCGGTCTTCCCGTGGCCGGGCCGTCCAGCCACCGTGCAGACGAGCCCAGGGCATGCCGGGCCTCACGGCAGCTCAGGAATGTCCTGCCTTGTTTTCAGACGAGAAATGAGCCGAAGCGTATTTAGAGGGAAAGTCAGACGTGCTGAGCAAATTGCACACGAGGCAAGACCATGTTCAAGGGCACTTGGTTTCCTCTTGACTGGGTCACTGGTGGGCACACAAACATGCCTTCCCTTTCAAATGTGTGGACTGACGTGCTCGCCCCTGGGCCACCAGCCCCGCCACCCCTGCCTGCCTCGCACCCCAGCCCACCCAGGCTCCCCTATCACGAGGCAAACTTATCCGAGTAGCTATCCCTAGGACCGACCACTCGGGGGCAGCACTGAGCCAGCATCGGGGAAAAAAGGTCCAAAATTTTCTTTGTAGGCAAAACCGTCCAGTATAAGTGCAATTCTACCAATCTACTAACTCCGTGAATCCTGAAAACCCAAAATATGGCTGTTCCCATAAATATTTAAAGGGTGTAAAAATAAAACAGCCACTCCAGCGGTAGGAAGGATTTCTCAGATTCCCTTCTTAATTTTTTAAGTGTCAATCCATGATGCGAGATAGCAAAGAAATGCTAACAGTTTTTTTTTAACAGGAACTGTGCTAAGTGCTTAACATGCACCATCTCATTTAATCCTACAAGAACTCTCTGAGGTAGGTACCATCATTAGCCCCAGCATGCACATGAAGAAACTGAGACACAGAGAGGTTAGACAACTCACCTAAGGTCACATAGCCCTATTTATTGGCAGAGTGGCATTTGAGTCAACCCAGGTGGCCTGACATCAGGGTGCATAACCCTGCATACCGTACCATATACTATGCGATCTCATGGCTGGATGAGCTGTCTAGTCCACATTCGTTCCCTCAACAGACATTGTTTTCCTTATCCCAGCCTCAGCCTAATGTCCAGAAAAGTTTCTCCTTATTCTCCTTATTTTCAGCTAAAACTCCGAATTGGTCAGGGTTTTTCCCTCCAGAGCTGCTTCGGATAAAGTGAGTTTCCCTTCCATACTAAAACCCCTACAATTTTTGAAAAATTAATAACAACATTCATTGTTGCTCCCCAACCCTCGAACAGCCCTACAGCAGGAACGAGGTCATTAGTCCCTGTTTACAAAAATGTCCCTTTCCACTCCTGCTGGTTAGCGAAAGTGCTGGACAACTCTCGACGCGGAGGTTTCACAGCAGACTAGGTGCCTTCATCCACCAGCCGATGCCCAAGACCACAAGTGCTGTTACTAAACCAGACTTAAGAGCTACTAAAGGTAATGCATGGTTGTGGTTTTTAGAAATGCAAGCAATATGGAAGAGGATAGACTGGAACCGGAAAACCTCTCTCCCACCCTGTCCAGTCTCCTCTCAGAGGGAATCCCTGTAGCTGCTTTTGAATTCCAGGAATTCCCTTTGCACATACAAACATGTGCGTGTGAGTCTTTTAGGGTCACGTTATGTACACCGATTTGCTTTCACCGGCGGTCCCCCAGATGCCTTGCACTAGAGCACTCCTGCTAACGGCTACATGAAAACCTCCCTTCGTGTACCTTTCCGCCTCTCCTATAATGCTTCGGTGAAACTACATGTATTTTTGGACGGCTTCCTAGAAGTGAAATTCCTGGGTGGGAGGTACGAGCACTCTTAATTCTGAGAGACAGAACCCAATCACACTCTTTAAAGAGCTGTCGTGATCTTCACTCAAAGTCACAGTCCATGTCCCAGTCTTGGCATGATTTGTAATTCAGCTGCTGAACCGTCCTTCGCTGTCCGAAGGCAGCCGCCGACCCAGCCATGCTTTCAAGCCGCGCCGCCCGCGTGCCAGGCGCTGGCGGGGGTCTGGGGGGCTCTGGGGGGTCCGGGCTGCCCTGGCCGGCGCTCCGCAGCGGAGCCGCTCGGAAGGCTCTGGGCCCGGTCCGGCCGCCCGCGGAGGGGCCCGGGGGCGGCTTGCTTGGCGGCTTCCCTCGGGGTCTCGTTTCGTCTCGCGGCTTCCCAGGTGCCTCGGCGCATGGCAGGCAGTCGAAAGAGGGCGTGCTTTCCTGCCTCTTTCTCCGGGCCGAGCGCGCTCTCCGGAGCCGCAGGCGCTGGGCACAGCCCAGACCCACCCCCGAGGTGAAGCCCAGGGGGCCGACTCCGGCCAACTAGCCACGCCGGACGCCCGGACCCGCCGCGGCTCCCGCCTCCCCGCCAAACAGGCTTGAGGCGGGAATGGGCCTACAGATAGGCCCCATCTCACTCCTGTCGGCCAATTAAAGTGCAGGGACCTCCAGACCGAGAGGGTTCACGACAGACTAGTTGCCCTGATCCAGGAACCAGCTGCCCGGACCGCGATGCCGCCACCAAACGGACAGGCGGGACGGATGCTACTGGGCATGCGCGAAAGTCCGAGGCGGCGCGCCCGCGCGCGCCCCTGGCGGTCACTGGGCCTCAGTGCGGCTGCGGCGCTCGGCTCCCCTCCCCGGCCACGCTCGGCTTCTGGCCCCGCCCCTTCCTCCGCGCGGTGTTGATTGACGGCAGGCGGGGCTCGAGGGCAGGTGCGTGAAGCTGTCATCAGCGCTACTACGGAGTCTGGATCCTCCCGAAGGCACAGAGAGGCGAGCCGGCCTGGCCTCGGTCTCCGAGTTCTCCTGCGCCTTCTCTCCCACTCCAGGCCACGTGGACGCGACGAGGTAGGTAACGGGTCACCGTGTCCAGGAGGAAGTTTGCGGGCTGCGGGCGCCACGCCGGCTTCAGCCGTCCCACTTGCTGAGAATTCCACGTTTATCAACAAGGCGTCACCTGCGGTGGGGGGATGCCGGGACGCCCTCGCCTTGCGCCAGTGGACCCGGGGCCTGCGGGTTTCCGGATTAAGAATGTGTGAAACCAGACCCGGTACCAGCGTCTGCGCCTTCCGTCCTCATCTGGGCCTGTGGGCCCCCACCTCAGCTCCTGAACACCCACACCTGAACCTGGCCACCTGGAAGGTGCGTGCTAAGTGTGCACTGAGTGCAGGAGGCTGGCGGGAGGGGGCAGGCCTGCCGCGGTGGGAAGAGCACTCGCTAGTCCTGAGGCTCGGTTCCCGTTCTGGCTCTGCTAATCACTGGTGCGGAGCAAGTTCCTCCTCCTGTCTGGGCCTTGATTTCCTCCCGTGTGAAAGGAGAGGGTTGGACTCTGGTAAGTACACAGTAAATGCCAGCAACGAGCCAGGCACTGTGATGAGTACTGGGGATACAGGTGAGCAACACAGGCCTGATCCCCGAATTCACTGTGTGGAGGGAGGAAGATACTGAACACACTACCAAAAACGCAGTTACGCACTTACTTCTAAGAAGTGGTGCACCGGGAACTCAGAGCAGTGGGGTGGGCTTCTGAGGCCAGGAGGAGTAGGGTTAGCTGGGTGGGTAGTCAGTGGCCCAGGCAGAGGGGCGATACTGGAAGGTGAAAGGCACACATATCTTACTTTAATTGAACATCATAATAACCCTTAAAATACACAAGTAAGAGGAGCGGAAGTTTCAGTGAGTTAAACTGAGTAGATCTTGCAGGGTCTTTGAAAGCCCATAACCATTTGAGCAATTCTGTGAAAATAATGTGACGCCCCTTGAGCCAGTGCACTGACGTTAGTGTTCCAGAAGACTGTTGGATCTGACCTGAACAGGCCAGGTTCCACGATGCATGCTGTGTGCTATTTGTGCTCTGACTTTGCGTGACGCGTCCTGGCTGTTTCAGAACTAAAAACATCCATCTTCTGTTGAAAGCAGCCCATGTCAAAAAAAAAAAAAAAAGCAGCCAGTGTCCATCTCAAGCTGAAGGGTCCAGGCTTGACTGCAAAGACAGAGATGAGAGGAGCGGCTTGCAAAGTGCAGAGAAAAATCAAGAGCTGGTCACCGTACCTTACAAAAGCACGCGTGTGGAGGAGACACCGGGTCTGGTAGAAGAAACGCAAGATTGGCACAACTGAGGTGGCAGCCCCACGCTGGCTGTACGGACTTGACGAGGCTCTCCAACCATCTGAGCAGCATCTTGATAAACAGGACTAGTTAAGTTCTCCCGAAGTATAAAATTCGGAACTGGAGAATGTGTGGAAGTTACTTCTAAACTGTGAAGTGCTATCCTACCAGCTCAGTGATCACCTGGCTCATGTTGTTCCCTCAGCGTTTTACTGTATACACGCCTCCAAATTCTGGGCAAGAAAGGATTTGACACATTTGAATTTGTAGCAATACACCAAATCGTTTTGTTGCATAAACGTTTTTAATTCTTTCAGTTAGGTTTTCTCTTTTCTAAAGGTGGTTTTAAACTTAACTTTTCACATGTGGATCTCTCTCATCACTTTTAGTTGAGAAGGAGCAAAACACAAAATGAGAGTAAAGCAAAAATTAGAGTAAAACAGTTGGCAGGAGTTTCAGATTTTTTTATGTATCCCATCGTGCTGAACACATTCAGTGGTTTTTGTTTTTTGTTTTTTTTGAAGTTGTTTTCTTAGCTGGTTTGTCAGTAAGCACATCTCTTCCTAAAATTCTCCAGAACATGAGGATTCGAGCCCGTACGCCCAACCCTGGCTTGCTGCTAACGCTGGCTTGTTAGAGGGGGTAAGCGAGCTGGCCATGGACCTAGGTATGCTTTCAGTGGCCACAGGAGACAAGTGAATAGAATTTTAAGAGCAATGGAATTGTTTAAACAAAGTAACTATGCTTGGTGAACAGTCAGAAGCGTCAAGTCAGTTATGAGAAACCAAAGCTGTTGTGTGATTGGGAAAGATCGGCAGAGACGGGGTTTGAGGAGACAGGGCTAGACCTGGACGCTGGGACCCCGGGAAACCTTGTGCAGAAGGGAAGTACCATCCGTGTGGCAGCAAGCTTTGATGGGTGTGTTCACTTACTCGGTTCAGTCTCCAGTGTGAACTCAATGTCATCCCCATTTTGCAACGAGGAAATCAGGTTTCAGAGAACTGAAAGATGGGTGGAACTGGGCAGGCTTTTTGTTCACTGAAAAAATGAATACGCCTGGCATTCCTGGACACGGCTGTGGGCCCCCTAATTTGATTAGCAGATCATTCTTTGGAAAGGCTTCTATTTTTAGCTATTACGGTTTTACTGTGTCAAGATTTCTTTTAAAGCTGGGCCGGCCATTAGGCCATGCTGACACCGGAGCTGCTACACTGAATGTCTGCACTGCACTGTGCGGTTTGGGTAGCTGACCTGATGTTAACACCCCAGCTTACCACTTAGTTTTCAGCTGTTCTGGACACTGTGCTTTCCTT